ATTTTGTTCTAGAGCAACAAAGGTCCCCCACTCAGTGTAACATAGCTTACACTGACTGCACTGAAGCTCCACACTGACCAATCAATACAACAAGAGGATGAATATGGTATTCCCCATCGCCCACCAGTTTTAATTATAGGCCTCATGGGGTTGGATTGGAGGGAATACACTTCAATAATCAGGCCTGCAGGGCTGCAGTATTTATATTTGATGTCAGACGTGTGATCTATTGGACATGTGAGAGGACATCTGGATTCAGCTACAAGCTCCTGAACACAGTGTGGTCAGTGCTATGCTACCACAGTGAATCATTCCTGCATGGTGCAATCCATCACATAACAGTATGCAGTATTACTGTTATGATGCATCACACATTATAGTACCCCATTATAACCCTGCAACATTTTTACATTACAACCATAGTGTTTATTTTTTTATATTGGCCTTAAATTGGAGGCAGATTCTGTCAAAGAGACATAATACTGACCAGGCCCTCCCAGCTTGGGAATCACTGGACAAAATGAAAGACTGCGGCTGTATAATATCTGAACCATGGTGTCCATTTGAAAACAGAGGCAGCCACAGTCTTGGCTGTCACTCCTAACTGGTCTCCACCCACCCAGAGAGCCACACCAAAGCTTTGAGAGCCCAACATGTCACCAGAAGAGTACTATTTAGTGTGTGGGGAGCAGTGGATAAGCAGCTGCTTCAGAGAGCTTTTGTTGACTGGCTGGATTTAAGCTCTGAATGCATTTTAATATGAATAGCGCAACTCAGTGCGATTACAATAAATTACCACAGGAAAACTGCAATGCTCTTGACTGTCAGAGTACCAGTCATTGCACTGACTTCAAAGGGTGGAGGCACTTCCTGAAGCTAAGATTGCCCCTGAGCCCAGGCTTTACTCATCCTTACTCATCGCTATGTAGAGTCGTCATCTGTAGCTCAATTCATAGAGCATGCTACTAACATAGGCATTTAATCTAAGCAATCTAGGCATCTTGGTGATAGGGTGGTCTATAATGCCCACCATATAACTACAGTGTTTCCGGCTCAATTAAAGCAAATATTTGTGATATATCATAACCCTCTCTTCCCCTCCCACCTCATTTCCTGTCTCTCTATCCCTTTACTGTCAAATAAAGAAAAAATGCCATTAAAACATTTTTTACAAGCAGTATACGATGTATGGTTATGGTGCATACTTAAAAATATCCACTAGACATCTGACATATGTTCCCAACTGCTAAACAAGTGTGTGGTATGTGAGCAATTTCACACATCCACCTGCAGACGAACAGTGTTTTTTCTTTCCCAGCTGTTGTTGAACTATGCTGCTAATCCATGTCTTATCTCAGTGGGTCCTAGTGGGGTGGTTGTGGGTGGACAGAGCATCCATATCTGCCTTTCTAAAAATGAATGGTATGCTCCTCTGCTCCACCACAGTGCACTCTGACATCCCCAGCTTAGTCATGGTAAACAGAAGGCATTTCCGTAAGCCGCTATTGGAACAGTAGAGTTACGACTTCGTCACAATTACTTAAGCAATTGGCAATAACTCACATTTCTCAACTGGACTGCATCTGTGTTTACAGACTGTAACAATAGCAGGAGGGGGTATTGCAGTTTGGCTGTACTCTCTACATGACAATACTGTCTACCTATGCATCTACATAATAGACATGGTAAATAGCATTAGCTGCCTTTTCCTTTAAGCACCAACATTTCTGTCCACTGTGAAAGCAGCTGTGGTTTGATGAGGTAAAAGTGTCATACGTAAAGGACTCTGTCTTCCTGACTTCTGAGAGTGCTAGGAAGTGAATTTGAGTAAGGAAAGAAATGATCTGTGCTCACTGGTCAACCTTCGCTAAGTGTTACTACAGCAGATGGAGGCATTAAGCACCCGTATTTGCAGCCAGGCCACCCTGGTTATTTGCTTAACAAATAACCAGAAGGGATTGTTGTGTACATGCATGTGTGTGTGTGACCCCCTCAATGCTCCATCTCACCCATGTACTGGCTGAGTGAACCAGGCACAGGCTGAGTAAACTGGACATGCATGACACCAGACAAAACACATGAAGATCAAACCACTCATTGTATTTAACCCATTTTTGGAGGCTCGAGTGAGCTATACAGACTCCCGAAAGCCTTTAGCTGTGCAGAGAGGCAACTACTAAGGGAAACAGTCTAATTAAATCACAGTTTTACTACCTGTTTAGACGGATATTCCAGTTGACTGAAGCTGCGCTGTGCTTTCACTGAGGAATGCTATGCATGACTACTTGAATCTGTGGCTGAGCTGACTGCTGCAGCTCAGGGAGACATTATCACTTACTCATATTTTTAGGCAAGTGTTAAAGTCCAGAAATGATTCTTACATTTCATAGTGTATATATTTTGTATTAATATAGTTATGGCTTTTATTAAGATGGCAATTTTGACCTTGTTTCCCAGTCTTTCAGTTTCATCAGTCTTATAAAGGCAAAAGGTTATCTTGCACCTGCAATTGCATCCTTGAAGAGGGACAGGGGGTTCAGACAAGTATGAGACTGTGTTCAACACTAAGACATCTATCAAAGTGTTACATGACAGAGTCAAAGCCTGAGGACATATGCTAGTATCTTGCTCAGTTAAAAAAGTTTTGCTGACACATTTGAAGTTCTTACAACAGTTAACGCCAATATTGGGACGCAGTTATTAACGTAAATGCGTTTAAAAGTACAGTTATAGCGGATGGCTGACAGTGTTGGCAACTTGGCAAAGTTAGCTGAGGCGCCACGTTATAGCCATCTTCCAATGCAACGGTTTTAAAAACAAAAATACACCTGAGACACCGTAAAACACGAAAGAAACACTTTACCTGACTTATTAAAATAAACATATCTAGCGTAATGTAACGTTAGCTGCTCACCTGGACTAACAGTTAGCAAAACAGATGTGTTAGATATCTAAAACTTTGTCAGAAACTTACAAAAATGTCCTCAACTCACCATTTTGTGACTTTTTCCCAGAAGAATTACCGTATCCCCTCGCAGTTACACCATACAAGTGTTAAACGTGACGCATTTCTGACTTGTACACAACTTAAAACACATCAAAATACATCCAGCGTTCGCCCTGAGTCCTTCTTCTAACTCAACTCTTTTCGATGCAAGCTGACTCCATCCATGAAAACCTTACCTCTTCTAAGTAGCTGATTGGACGACGGGTCGACTTTGGCGAGCTGTGATTGGCCGAACGGGACGTCAATCAAGTTTCCAACGTCTTCTCCGGTAGGATCGGCTCGAGATCGCACAGAGGAGTTCCAAAGGGCTCACGTGACGTGTGAGGTGGCTCCCTTTGAAACAGCTGTCCGGAGATGATGTTGGATTAAAGTTTCCTCTAACTGTGTCCTCCTGCAAGTAAACACAAGATGTTCTGAGTGTTATCCCCTATAACTGGAAAATCAAAGTCTTTCCTCTTATTACACTGTATTGAAATAGGGTCTTTATAAACGGGCTAAATAAAACAGTAATTTTGTTAGTAACAGGAAGAAAGTTTGATCCTTATCACAAAACTTCCTTCTAACAAATTAGGTAAAATAAGTTTCATTGAAATTGATTCATAGATTCTAAAAAAAATCTTTAAAAAGTTATTAGAGTGTAACAAAGATGTGAATCACTGTTTTTGTGAATTACATCCTGAAACATTCTCCCATTTATTTTGCTCTTGTAATTTTTACATATGTGCTGTGGAGAGCTTTTACTAAATTTATGGTTTACAACATTTTCTCAGATTTTACTATTTACTTACTGTTATATTTGGGTGCTACGATGATTGTGACAAAGATGCATTTTTTCTTATTAATCTAATTTTACTTCTTGCCTAATTTCACATTCACAAATGTAAATTTACTTTTAGAAAAACTTTATTTCTATAGATTTAAATGTGTTACAGAATGGAATACAAAAAGGGGAAAAAAGAGCATAAAGCACAGACAATTATAGAGAAATGAATAGTACAAAAAATAACAAGTTGGGTCAATGAGTCACATAGATAGCATTGTTAAAAAAAGGGGGTTAAATTATGGAGTTGTTTCATTCCAGTCCATTTCTGCTCCTTTAATATGTTTTCCTGTTGGGTGCTTTATATTTAGGAGATAAACTTGTATGACCATACAATAACCAATGAAGGTCCAATTCCATTAAAAGTCTGACGCATAGGGCCAAGGTACATAATGAAAATGAATGAAAATGAATATTCATTTTTTCAAAATGCAGGTAATGGAACATGCTTATCAATGATTCCCTCCTTACAAAACAAAGAGCCATCAAAACAATAAATATATGCACTATCTTCAAAATTTAAAAGTGCACTTTTTGTCACAAGTCACTCACATCTTCATTTCTCTTTTATTTTATGTTAGATTTATTTTGCTGTTGTCATCTTTTTCTGCTGTTAGTTTTGTTTCTCAGTGGTATAATTCTGTTCACATTCTGTTTCTGCTCACATTGTATGTTAAAGTTGAAATAAAGATTATTGGGAAAAGAAATGAACAAGGTGAATAACTAAGTTAGGTCAAATTGATTCATCTATAACATCTAAATAGCAGTTATCAAACAGGTCACAAAGGTCACAGGTCAAATTCTCCACACTATTTGCAATGTTTGTATTTTTCTATGGAAAACACTTTTTCCCCTGCAAACTGCACACAAACACAGATATCTTCGTGTTAACTTTTCATATTATTACCTGGCTTTATTAACAGTATAATCTGAAAAGAAACCAATTTATATGCATTGTAACATCACCCTTTTAAAAGGGGCTGTTAACCTTCTAGGGACAATACAACTGAGACTGGAAAGACGTGTCAGACTCATGGACGTCTGGTCAAGTGGGAAAAACTAGCTCAGCCTACTAATAAGATAATTACTCTTATTCTGCCACCTACAGGCAGATACTGTATTACACAGCCTTGATAAATTCTCAGTATTAACAAAAACCAAGGGACACAAAACTCTATGAGAGAGGCAACATTTTATTTTGTGACTGAAACTAATTCATATTAATACATTCTCCAACACAAGCAGGATGTTAAACCTTAGAGTTAACAGGAAATTCTCTACCCATCCCGTAATGTTAATTTCTAAGCTGTTATAACAAATTGAAATGCAAACATCTGTTATTAGTAATATTAGTAGTAATAATATAGAACAGATGAACAGTTACAGAACAATTATTTTCATGTCTGTTTATAAAGGACCTGATGAAAATACTGTCAAATGTTATAAATAAATTAGCTTTAAACTTATATGCGTTGACACAGTCACTGAGTTTGCAGCATGTGCTCAATAGTACAAAATAGTTTACTCTGCAGGACAAGGTGTAGCTTCATCTCAGTCATTGTGACGCCTTTTTTTTTTTGAGGCAGATTACAGTTATGTGGATGAAGCTGAAAAGCCACATTTATACTTTGAGTCAGCCCTCAGGGCCAGCTCAAAATGTTACATTCAATCATAGATACAGATGGTAAAATTAAATGTCTGAATTTTGTAGAACTTAAAAAACATAATTACATGAGCTGTTATCCTGTTAAAAAAAAACACAACTGCAAGAAGAGGGACACACACATGATACAGTATAACAATGGACAAACCCAACGCACAAGGCCGAGGCATCCAGTACAATGAGGCCATTGTGTTAAAAACACACAACAATAGTTACTGAAATTGTGTTGCATAAATAGAAACAAAACTTTATTTGATGCATAATACCAATTAAATCATCATGATCAATACTTTGCTTGGTTAATCTGTATCAGCAGTGCTTCAGTTTTGCAACATCACATTTCCATTTTGGTCAAAAGAGCCTTTATGGAGTGAACCAGTCCTGCACTTTGTTCCACAAATAAAGGCCTTTCAAGAAATATTTCTCTCTCTACAGTCCAAAGACACCAATGTGACTCATGAATGGACTGATCTAATTGTCCACTTAGTATGTAATAACTCCAATGACTAACCTATAGAACCTCATTCTTTAAACTTAAACCAATTTTCCTGCCTACGTTGCCCAATCAGTGCTGAATAACAATGTTTGCTGTAAGAGCTCCAATGGCACTGTGCATGAGAAAGGATAAATCATTGATGTGATTTGACAACTAGGGCATTTCATCACTACTAAGAAAGACTATAACCTCCTCTGAAAATAATGTCCCATCCCCACAAAACATGTTCCCGGCCTTCTTTTACCTGATAGATCAACCCGACTTGATCTATGGGTAGAAGAAGATACTATGTAATAAATACCTCTTCAAGCATTACATCTATAAATACTGTATGTGTGTAATATATGACTGGTAAACTGGATATTTCACAGCTCGGTGTCCTGAGGGTGATGGAAACAAGCAGGGCCCCATTCCACTGCCCTAAACAACCACACCCATGTTAAAAGCTAAGCTAACCAGATGGAAAAAACAACTTGAAAACTGCCTCAAACTCTAAGGGAAGCCAATGCAGCAAACTTCATCAAGACTGGTGCAGCGCTTGTCAAAATGTGCCTGTTTAAACAGGCAAATTGCTTGGCCTCTGGTACTGTTGCTCAAGAACCATACATGCAAACGACTTCACACTCAACACTGCGCTTCCCTGGGTCCTGAGTAATACACCTGCCATGACATGGTTGCATCGCCTAGCAATGCCAGAGTATATTTACTTAACATCAGGGTGCAAAAACTCACACAAACATTTTATAGTCTCATGGAGTCAAGGCCCGGTTATCTTCAGGAACAAAAGCATTCATTTCCAAAGTTGCATCTCTGATGCTTGAAATGTTAGCATTTGCTACAACGCAGTCTCTTAACTTGCTCTACTTTCATCTGTTCTTAAATGTAGTGTAGAGAGCGACGAAGAACAAGCTGTACCCAACAGGTCGTTCAGTTGTGTAACTGTTATTAGGGGTCCCCTCTCAATACACTACATAGTGTGTACTTCTGGCAGTAGTAACGCACTTTTAATTAATATGTCCCGTAGATGTCCAGAGCTTGCAGTTGACACCGCACTTCCTTGGATCTTCAGCAACACACCAGCCAAGTGTGAAGTGAAATGGCTGTCAGGAAAAATGAAAGACAGACAGAGAGAGACTCCTTCATTTTAGCTGGATAGTACCAGACAGTCACAATTACCTGTTGGGGTTTTAGTTCATTTATAGCCAAGGGACTTACTTTGTAAAAAAAAAAAAAAAAAAAAAAAAAAGAAGTTTTATAATAGAATAAACCATAAAAACAACCTTCTTAAAACCACCCTTCTAAAAGTCACTTCACACATCCATTAAAAAAGAAAAAATAAGGCATCTTTCAGATAGAAAATGGTGTCCCTCAGTTGGCGTGGGGTTTGACTGAAACCTCAGACTGACCCTCTGTGGTACTGTTTACGGGTACCAGCTTGTTTCCAAAGTTCCAGTCCACAGGATTAAACAGCTGCATGGTCTTCTTGTGCGTCCAGATGGGTTTGAGGATAAACGTGAGCAGAGTGAGGCCAGTTAAGTAAATAAACAGTGGGGGCACGGCCACATTGCTGCTGAGCTCTCCCCAGTGGTTCAAGGTTACCCACCACATGTAGTAAGTGAGCACCATGCGACAGTGGAAGGCGTGGATCATCACCCACTGGTTGGCTCTCCAAAACAGGGTGCGTGCCCAGCCAGCCTGTAAGGGAAGAAAGATGGAGAGAGAAATTATACTGTGGAATGGGGCACAAATTTCTTTTTGTATCACAATAACATCAAAGTCACATCCTTGTGACTTCTGTGTACTGAAGTCAAATCTGTGAGTAGGGGGAACAGAGAAAGTTTAGGCACTGACTTGATCGTCTTATAGAACTTCCTCTTTCTAAGAACGTTTATCTCTGTCTGTTGACAGTCATAAGTGCACAAAACCACAGAGGAACTGAAACCATGTGACACTTCCAGTAATGTCAGTGGTACAATCTGTTAGAAGAAGATGCTCAACCAGCAGCACCAGATGCAACTACAGCCCTTGAAACACTGATAAAATAAGTGCTCGTACCAAACAATCATTTGGTAACTGCATTTACTGCTAAATGTAATGAGGCAAATTGATTATAGGCACAGCTCCCTACCTTCAGTAACATCCAGGATATACAGGTGAATGGTGTGCTCATCTCAAGCAGCAACGTAACCATCGGCAGGAAGTGGCCCATAGAATCCCACACCACTGCTCCTGCATATCCTGTCAGGGCGAAGAAATGGTGCGTCGCCAGTGGGAGGTCAAATGACCTAAACACCACGCTGGAGGCGTGAAGTGCTACATTCTCAAACACAAAGAAACCTGTGGCTGTGAGGACATTGAACCACGACCAATCTGCTTGCCCCTTCACTCTGTCACTGGTTAACGCAGAGTCCTCAGTCAGGGCCCGCAGACCGGCTACGGTGCTCTGGATGCCAAACACCGCCCGAGTTGCTGCGAGGTTCCAGAAAACTTTCTCCTTAGCCACCAGGGAGTTGTAGGTGCGGGTCAATGCCACAGACAGGAGGTGGGAGAGGAGGAATATTCCGGCATAGAAGGCAAAGCCCAGGCCGATAAGCTGGACGCGGTAGTCCCATGAAAAGTTTTCTGCACTAGGCTGGGTAACAGCTTTGGTATGCTGGTCAGGATCCATGGTGTTTGATACTGGAGCTCAGGCTGAGGGGAGGCTCAGCTGCAGGTGGGGCTGTAGGCCGGTGCTAGTAGGTGCATGGTGTGTTGGTCACCTATAAAACAACCTGAGGCTGCTGAAGAAAAACAGACAGGACATTATTCCCTAAAACACACATTTTCACTTAATATTTATGCAACTGACTGAGAGATGCCAGGTTTCAGGACCAAGTTAAACAGCGAGTAGCTTACTTGATATAAAATTCTGCTTCTGAGGTTTTTCCACCCTGATCACAATACAGTTCTCTGACAAAACAATAAATACTTATTGTGGTCACATTTGAAGATATTGAACATTGTGCAACATATTGCCAATCAGCAGCTTCAGTGCAACATAATCTCTAATACTTCTATCTTAAAGCACTATTGCTAAGGCACTGCACTTTCGATTTGTAAATTGTTTATACAGCAGGAGATAACCTGCTTTAATAGCTTCCACTTTAGTTTGGTGCCATGATGCCAGCATTACTGCACAGCAGAATTTGCAGGTATTTTCTAGACATCTCAGGCTACTCATCATCTGCTGTAAATGGATATATGTTTAGGAATGTACTTCTTTACACTTAAAAAAATGGGATGTATGTGGGCCATGAAGTTAAATGAAGCACCCCTGCTTTAAACAAACTACAAATGCACCCAAGCTCCATGTGAACTTGAATGCACCATAAGTTTGGACCTCAAACCGTTATGAGCGAACTTTTCCTGCAGTAACTCGATAAAAACAGAAAACCAGCTCGACACCATGCCGCCCAAAAAATAGCGTTTTACCTATCTATAGCTAAGTCAAATAACAACAAACTAAAACCTTTACGAGACACGTTAAACTTTCAGCTCGAACGACACTAACTGTGTTGTAAAACTGGCACTAAAACCACGACGACAAAGGGTGTAGCCTGTAAGCTAACACCACACTAAACAGTGTAAAACAGTAACTCTCACTCACCATAAAGTAATTAGCGGACATTACTTTCATACCGTAAAGAGATGTTTCCTCTGTACACGATGTTCCGGCGATGCTGTCAGTGCAGGTTACAACCGGACAATTCACATCATACGACTTCAATTTGGTCATATGATCCTCAAACAGGAAGTGACGCCCACTTTGAACTTCCGGACACCCCATTGGTCAATGCAGCTCTGCTCAGTGGTACCGTGCCATCCTATTGGTTAGCTCCTGGCTCCTTATTATTTTGGCTTTCCTCTGTCATAAAACCAAACAGTACCTAGTTATAGATGTGTGTCCTGTACACACAGTAGAGAACATATATTCAGTACAAATGCAAAGACCTGTCTGGTTAGAAGACCTACATCATGCTTTGAGGAGAAATGTTTTAAAGGAAAAATGTTTTACATAATAAATGTTGTATTCATCTATATATTGCAAAAAAAAATCTGATTATAAATAGCTACTAAAATGTAAAAGAAAAATGGAAATGAGGACACATTTTAATAGATTTGAAGAGGGAATAATAACCCCAATTCCAAAAAAGTTGAGGTGTTGTATAAAACTTAAACAAAATGCAATGCTTTGTAAATCTTTTTGACCTATACTCAGATGAATATAATACAAAGGTACAGGTTAACATCACAGGTTAACAGGTTAACTGGTAACAGATTAAAGGATCACGACTGGGTATGAAAGGGGCTGCCTTGAAAAGCTCACTTATTCACATGCAAGGATGGTCACTTTGTTAAAACCTGTGTTGGCAACAGTCCAACAGTTTATACAGTTTATAAAGTTGATTTGATTTATACAAGAGCTGGGATAGCGGTATGTTTACAGCTGTGTTACATCACCTTTTCTCTTGTTTGGGTTTTGAAAGTGAAATTCTTCCCTGTTCAGTCTGGGTTCTCCATTGTAGCGTTTGTGCTTCATAATGCTCGCACATTTTCTTTTCCTTTTTTTTTTTTTTTTTTCTTTCAGTGTGAGGTGTGGGGCTGAAATCAAACCCACCGCCGCTGTGGCAAGAAAACTACCTTTGTACATGGGGCACCTGCCCTACCTAGTGAGCTACTGGGCACCCCACAACACATATTTTCAATGAGAGACAGGTCTGGACTACAGGCAGGTCAGTCTAGTACCCGTGCTCTTTCACTACAAAGCCATGCTGTTGCCGCAATGAGCAGGAGCGTCCCTGAAAAAAAAGTTGTCTAGATGGCAAAGTAAGTTGCTTCAAAACCAAAACCTGTAAGTGCCTCTCAGCAGTCATGGTGCCTTCACAGATGTGTGAGTCACTCATAATGCCATGGGCACTAACACACCTCCACATATGCTGGCTTTGAACTTTGCCCTGGTAACAATCTGGATTTGTCTTTTTCCTTTTTAGCCCGCAGGACAGATCATTTGTCCATCATTTGTAAAAACAATTTTAATGTGGACTTATCAGACCACAGCACACTTTTTAACTGTGTCAGTCCATCTTAGATGAGCTCCAGTTCAGGGAAGTCGGCGGTGCTTCTGTATGTTGTTGATATATGTCTTTCATTTTGCATGATAGAGTCTTAACTTGCATTTGTAGTCACAGCGCTGAACTGTGTTTACTGACAGTGGTTTTCCAAAGTGTTCCAGAGCCCATGTAGTAATATCCTTTATACAATCATATCAGTTTATAATGCAATGCCGCCGGAGGGGTCAAAGGTCACGGGCATTAAGTGTTGATAGTCCAACTGACCAACTAAACACGTAATGTCATTTGTAGATGGTGAAATCACTAAATTCCTTGCAATGTTGACACACCTTATTCTTAATAAACTGTTAGACTATTGCATCATGCAGGTTTTCACAAAGTGACAATCCTTGCTTGTGGATAACCGAGCCTTTTGAGGAGGCCCTTTTCCTACCTAGTTATGATGCTTTAATCTTTTACCAATTAACTTGTTTACCTGTGAAATGTTCCAAACTGGTGTTTCTTGGGCATTCAACAAGTTTCCCAGTCTTTTGTTGCCCCTGTCACAATGTTTTTGGACATGTTGCGGGCATCAAATTCAGAATGAGAATATATTTGCAAAAAACAAAAAAAAAAAAAAATGTGTATCAGTTTGAACATTAGATATCTCATCTCTGTGCTGCGTTCACTTGGATAATGGTCAAAAAAGAGAAGAAAAACTTTTTTGGAACTGGGATTGTTGTTTGAAATTATTATCATTTGATTTTACTGTAACAGTATATGTGATTACATGCATAAAATGTTGTGAGAGCAGCAATTGACACAGGTTGTGCAAAAAAAAATAAAACTAGATTAAATGTACAACCTTTATATACAGGGTTGCAGCTTACCCTCACATGCACTGAGCAAGAAGCAAGGACCACCCTTGGCAGGTTGCCATAGAGATCACACACATTCGCATAGACAGTAAACTACAGATAAGCACATAACTGCTGGAGGAAACCCACAGAGACACAACATGCGGACTCCACACACAAAGGAGCTGGGTGGGGTGGAACCGCGGACCATCTTGTTGTGATGTGTTCCACTCCACACACCATGCGATAAAAGCATCTGGCCTGCAGGAGCTGCGGAGATTAGGCTACCTGTATGCTACTTAGGCAGTTATCAGAAGCAGGCTGTATCTGCAGTGATTATGTGCTGTATCTGCTTTCCACTGCAAAAGGTGAGAGGTACCAGCTACAGCACTTCTCCTCCCACAGCAACAATATGTTGATAACGTTTCCCAGTCCTTGAAGTCAGTGAATATCTGTTAGTACCACATCAAAGTATTGAAGACATCACTCAATGGTGGGATGTTCTCTTTCCCACAAGTCAGCACTGAGGATCCTCCAGGACAAATAGTATAAAGACAGCAGCTACCTTTGTTGCACTACTTTGAGATAGATAATGTCATACAACTATACATCTAATAAAGTCAAATTATTATCAGTATTTTTGGCAATAAAGGAAGAATGGTGTGTTAAAAAATCCAACTGCAATAGCTGACCTGGGGCTCTTGGCTGTCCCACACTCCAGACTTAAGCTCAGGGGTGATCGTGCCTTTGCTGTGTCTTCCCCCAGACTGTGGAACATCATCCCCTCCTGATCAGATCAGCCCCCTCCACTGACTCTTCTAAGTCCAGGCTCAAATTCTACTTTATCCATTTGTGTTTGAGCCCCCCAATCTGGCTTTCTCTGATGCATGCCTGTGTGTGTTGTGTCTCTGAATGTATGAGCTGCCTCTCATGTACTGTATGTGTTTTTAGCTTCTTATTCCTTTTGTACAGCACTTTGGTCAACATGAGTTGTTTTTGAATGTGCTTTATGACTAAATTTGAGTTGAGCTGAGTAAATTCTCATAAACTTCTCTCTTTGTCCAACAGGGGGTGGTCTTGCCTTTTATATTTGAGATTGATAAAGAGAGGCCAAGAGCTTGAGCTCTATAAAATATTTATTGGAAATGACCTAACTACTAAGTTAATCAGTGACTGCTGAATGGCTGTTATATTTGAAAGACATACCCAATGTGAACATATTAACTTTAAGACAGTATAAATCGAATCAAATGTTTGACTGAAAGAAAAAAAGCATTAAGACGCTATAGGGCTGAAACATTGCATAACTAAAGACTTAAACTGGAGAAGAGCTCTCATCAGCCAGAATACTTAAAAACACCAGTGTGCACTGGTGTTTTAGAGATTTTGATGATTTGAAGTTTAAAGCAGTCCTGGTAGACTGCAGCAATAAAGATGTACTGTATGTAAATGTACAGTGAATGCATACATGCTAAACCTGTTATCATCATGAAAAATATTGTCAAAGACTATTCACAGACAGCTCTATCCATGTCTTGATTTGTAACAGATGTGTATCTTCCGTATGAATCCCTATTAGACAAACAATATATCAGATTTGAACCACTGTGCTGTGTCTTAATCCTACTAAAATTGATATTTTATTTATTGCTTTTTATTGCTATAAGCACACATATTTTTATTGGGGTATAGCCCATTACTTTAAAATCAGGTCTGCACATTGCAGCAGGTGTGCTGTAATGCAGTAGTTTCCAATTGCTCCAGCCACAGGGTCCAGATTTCTCCTTAGTCATTAGTTCAAGGTCCACACAGTTTAATATAGCTTCATACTTTCGTTTGGCCATGTTGAGCTAGTTTGCTGTCTCTGTCAAGTAGCTGTCTATTAGCCTCTCACTCCACATCAGGAAACGGCACTTCAAAATAAAAGCTCTGTGCCGGAAATTCACTGTACTTAAAAATAAAGTGTGTTTTTTACTCATTTGTGAGTCACTTGGGGTCCATTCAGATTAGCCGCAAGCTACAAGTTGGGAACCACTGCTATAATGGATATACTAAGCATGAAGAGGAGGCAACTTTAGAATAGGGCACCTGTGTGGGTTCATAAGTGTCAAACTGCTATTGAATCAGTTATGAGCAAGACCTCACTTTAGAATGGGGAACATATTGTGACTTAGAGACTTAATTTAGAGTTATTGGACACTATTAACACTTTCAGTTTTGTGTTTTCTTACATAAAAAATAGACCATCTTTATTAAATGTTATTAAGGGAGAATGACTACAAAATTCATGTGGTGCCACCATAAGGTTATCATTAGGGTCAATACTGAGCAAAGCGTATTTAGATCCTAATTCATGAACAACAATTTCCTTACTTACTATAAGTAAGCAGTAATGAGGAGGCTACTGAGGGAAAAATCTTTGATAATGGCCTTGTAGTTGTAGAATATGGTCATGAAGAACAAGGCGATAATAAGTGCTTTATAATGTCTAATAAAGAGCCAATATGCTACTAATATAAATACTAATAACCAGCTAGTCAATTGTAAATGTCTGTATCTTAATATAAAGTTCTGTTTTAAGGGGTCACAGTCAAACATAAGATAAGATTTTTTGGTGGCTCTATCTGAATAAAATGAAATGATTCATTAAATTCTTACATTAAGTGATTTTATGTTCCATCCATGATATAAATGCCAGATCACCGGTGACCGTCCTGACTCACTTCACCGAGAACAGTAAAAAGATAAATGCACCATTGTCGTTGACGGATGATTCAGAGCTGCCCTTCATCTTTATTTCATTGCTAT